TAGAGAAAGATGACTGTTAATGAGAGAAAGTGATAGGCATGGAAGAAAGAAGGTTAATACAATATCTATGTATATTTTAATGTTATGCATGAGCACACTTACATGCTGGTGTAAAAAGGAAAATATGGAAGATAGAAGAAAGAGTGGAGAGAACAAGTGGCAAACGTTCAGATTCAGAAAGTATAACACAGAAACAAACAACAACAAAAGGGATAGACTTAAGGTTAGAAGCGATAGATAGATCCATTGCCACCTGCCACCAAGGACCAGCTTCCGGACTCGCTTTCTTGGCTGCACTCTAGGGGCCAAGTACTAGACTGAGACTGAACAGATGAACAAAGAAAGGGGTGTGCCTTCAGTCTTGAAATCTCTCTGTGCTGGCCCTTTCTTCTGTTTACATTAAAGAATAATTCGATTGCATAAACTAAGGTGGGTTTTTAAAGTTTTGATCATGGCAACCTGTAAATTGGAAAAATAATTGATTCCCATGTTCTGTTGGGAAGGAATAAATCAAGCAACAAGATTTGACTTTTGTATATTTAGATATGAGCCCTTGAGATCAATGCTAGTAAAAGAGATCCCTTAATGGCTATAGAAATATATACAGTAATTAAATACATTCATGTGTTTATATATTCAATTATACATTGAATACTTATTCATTCTACAGATATTAATGGAAGGATTATTACCTGCTAGCCTCTGCTTTGAACAGAAGTGGTGATGAACATAAATAAAATCCTTGCCTTCATGGTGGTATGTTCTAGAGAGAGAGCAAGGCATTGATCAAATATACACATAATATTAAATATAAATATACTATAATAACATTGAACATATACATAATATAATACCAAATCTAATAAGCACTATACATCTTAAAGGTATAAAATTTAAAAACACATAACAGACAGTTTGAGAAGAAATACAGATAGTTTCAAAAAATCATATGTTCTATGATATAAATATGAAGTGGTAGTTCCAAGTGAAAAGAGAACTATATGTACCTATAATTTGAAACCATTAAGAATAATGCCTGGTGACACATAGTGAACACAATAAATATCACTTATTATTAATAGACCTATACCACAGGCTAGCATGCAGTGAACAAGCAATAAAGGAAAAAGTAAAGTGACCCTTAAACTTAATCAGTAAGAATGAAGAATGAAGAGACTCTAAACAGATGAAGAAGGGGTAAGGGCCTCCTATGCTGAGGCAGTAGCATGACAAGACAATAAAATATGACAGTGAGTAGTCTGTTTGGAAACCTGCAGTTGTTGTTTGGACTGAAGTACATAGCTTGTGGCCATAAGAAAAAAAGTGCTGCTCAGCCACTGTTGCTCAGTGTTCGAACATCGATCCCTGAACCAAGAGGTCACTGGTTCAATTCCCTGTGGGGGCACATGCCTCGGTTGCAGGATTGATCCCCAGTAGGGGGTGTGCAGGAGGCAGATAATCGATGATGTTTCTCTCTCATTGATGTTTCTATCTCTATCACTCTCCCTTCTTCTCTCTCTCTCTAAAAATTGATAAAAACATATTTAAAAAAAGAAGAGAAGTGCACTGAGAGAACTGGAACACGACTCAAAATATCTTCTTGTTCAGGTCAACATAATCAGGATAATGTTGAGGGTGGACGAGAACACCAGTGTCTCCTGATCCCCTCCATCTTCCCTATTAGACTGTGCATTCTAGAAGTTAATATTCTGTTCCAGATATTGTACTAAGGATTAGAGTGAATAAATTAGATTTGAAACCTACTCTCAATGAGTTAATAACAATGGCAACGAACCTTTTTTGAGTAATTTCTATTATACATGTACTGTTTTAAGTGATCCCCTTGTATTAATCCAGTTAATCCTTAAAACAACTCTAGAACCTAAGTAGAATTTTCATCTCCCTCTTACACATGAAGAAACTGGGGCACAATGAGGTAAATATTGTTCACCATTGTATTTCTAATATCAGGAACAGAGTTTTTTAATTAATATTTTGAATGACTAAATTAACAATGGCCTGATGAATCATGCCAAAATCCAACTTTGCTAAGGCCAGGATAGCACGTTCAGAATCAGGTCACTGTCTCACTCATCACTTTGTAAGACATTTATAGGACGATATTTCTTAAACTTCCTGAGGCATGATAATCCCCAAAATTTTAATTACTAAAAATTATAATTGTCTAGATCTGGAGATAATTTCATTACTTTGCATTTTTAATAGGTACCCCAAGCATTTCATTTTAAGGTGATACCTGTACAAATTTTACAAAAATGAATATTACTGCTCACTATGATTTGATAATAATTACAGCTAGATATAAAACTACTGGATAATGGTTATGGCTCAGTCTTTCAAAGGAAGGAGAAGGGCAATGGTGACTTCAGTGACAATGTAAGGAAATCTTCAGCTGCAACGAAATCTAGCCACCCATCCGTATTGCAAGGCTTCTCAACCTTGGTACTGTTGAAAGTTTGAACCTTATAATACTTTGTTGTGTGACCGCTTGCTTTTGCATTTGTGATTGTGCAGCAGGAACTCTGGACTCTACCCTCTAGGTGCCAGTAGATTAGCCCACCTCCCAAGATGTGACAACTGAACATATCTTTGACATTGAGAAATGTTGTCAAATTACCTGTCATTGGAATCCACTACCACAATGGAAGAGAGAGAATTTTCTCCAGTTCCGTATTTATAAGCAACCATTGGCTTCTAATCTAGAATTGTGTAAGACACGTGATGTCTCCCGGTGCGTGTTCCCTCTATGAGAGACTATGGTTTGTTTGATGAGTAAATGTACCTTCTTAGCTTTCTTCAGGACTCATAATATATGTCATCCTTCTCCCTCCACCCCCACACAGCTGACTTATTACATTGAATGAGACAGACTGTCAGGGTCAAGACACCTGACTAAGACCCCAAATCATCATTCCTTCTTCAGGTTCTTGAGGGCTCAGGTTCCTTTCACACGGTTTACAGGGAATTGTAACTAACTGTGACAGCGGAATGAGATCAGCTTCCCAGGAGACATATATTGTAAAAAAGAAAAGAAAAATCAAAGATGAGACATAGAAATAAAGAGTCAGAGAAAAGTGCTTGAAAGAAAGGAATGAAATAAACCTGAAAAAGTTCAGCACAAAATTGGCCAAAAACTAGATTTTGAAAAATACAGGAAATTTCCCACCCTGAAAATTACTCTAGTTCTTTATCATTTATAAGAATAAGCAGGCAACATGTAACTACCCAAGGGGGTATATCTTTCACTTTTCCTCTCCATTAACATCTCTTAACTGTTCTCAGTATCTTTCAGTTACATATAAAAACAATCAGGGTAATATCTTAGTACATATTTTTGATGGAGGAACCATTATTACTATTGTGTAACACTATGCAATATCATATTCCCATTAATTATCGAAACACAAAGAGTAACGAAATAAGTATTTGTTATTCACTACATACTTCTAGTGAATTAATTCCTAGTTCACTAGGCTAATCAGATCAGTGAATTAGTGTGTGCATCCAATACAACAGTTGCACTAGCTATCCAAAGCACATTCTTAATGGAAGCAGGAAAAATAGAAAGAAGACAATACAAATTTATATTGGCACCGCCTTTAACTAATTCATTCACCTCGCAATAATGGAACTTTATTGTTATATAGATTATTTAGTATTAGCTGCCTTGACTAACGTGCTCTGTGGAAGAGAATAATGCTGCCTAATTAACGTTTAGTAGAAGAATCACAAGGGGGTCAATACCTATTTTCAGAGGAGAATGAAAAGATGGAGAATCAATCACAGAGCGGGAGGAAAAGCCCAGCATTGCACCATCTGTTATCCTGGGCAAGAAAATAATCTGTAACGTTGCTACCGCCAAACCCAGTGAAGTGATTTCAGAAGGTCGGGTAGACGCTGTTACTTCTGCCTTGAACTGTTTGCGGGGAGACAAATGCTCTTGGGGAACTATGTGGTAAATTGTAGTTCACCCCTGAATGTGGCCAATTCCACGTGGCTGCGTGGTGATTAACGAGACCATCAAAGACGCAACCCCGAGCGTCCTGGGTGGGAAGCGGGGATTTAGGAAGGCATAAAAGCAGAAACGGCTGGGCAGCGAGCCTGCTTCCACCACCATCACTGTCTTCGCCTGTACAGTTGTTCAAGCTGCCAGAGGCTTTCTGGTTGCCCTGGCAACTGTTGAGCTCTGCTGCAAACTCAAAGCAGAGCCTCTGAAGTTGGGTACCAAACACTGGAGCTCAACAAATGCACAGGCAACTGGGGAGGGCGAGGAGAACATTACCCGTGTACCAGGTCTGTACCTCCTACGGCTCAGAGGACCTTCCCCAAACCGGATTTTTGTTTACGTTTTTTATAAAATGAGATAGTTCGTGCCTGGCATTATTCATTAGTACCATCTCCTGGTGCCCGGGGAGAGGAGAATGCAAATCATCTCACTCGTAAAGACGGAGAGAAAGGAGTTAGGAAATGCGATTGCCAGGAATGCACGGAGCACGCCCATTCATTCATTCATTCGGAATTTTAGGGACTCGTTGGTGCCGGGCATTGTGCCAGGTGCTGGGGCTGCTTCGAGAAATGAGACACCCTCCTACACTCCAAATGAAGGATAATTAACAAAAATTAGCAGAACCTGCGCGAGCCCTGGGAAAACCAATTAGGGGGCTGCAATCTTCCCACGGGTCTCGGAAGGCAGATTCCGAATCCAGACGCGGGAGCGGAAGGAGGCGGCAGCGCCCGAATTGTCAGGCCCGGAGCGAGAGGGGCACCTCCTTCCCTCGGGAGGAAAGCTGTCCAGGCCACTCCAAAGCTCCCCGGGGCTGCGAGGGAGAGAGAAGAGGTTTGTTTTTCTTTGAGAAAGACGGAGCCCTTTTCCCCACTGGGCTCGATTTCTAGTAGGGGGAGGCCCGCCTCTCGGGGTCGTTGATTGGCCCAAACGGTTTGCAGATAATTTATGCCAGCATCCTCTCGGTCCGATTGGCTCCCGGCTCCATTCCGCTGGGAGTCGCATCCTACCTGGTCGGGAGGTGTATCGCCTTCCCACACTTTCCCTTCTGGTGCTCCTTCCCCGGGCGGCAGCTTAGGTGGGAGGAAAAGTCCTGGCGTGAAGAATTCAGCGGAAAAGAAAAAGCGATTCTGATGGGTTCTTGGAAAGCTTGTCTCTTCTCCCCTTTTCTTCTGTGGAGTCAAAGTAGAGGCGTGAGGCTGATGTTCTTGTTGCTGACCCTGCATTTGGGAAGCTGGTGAGTAAATGCAAGGACTGAGAACTATTCTTCCGTGCCTACCCCCTTCCCTCTGGCTTTTTCTTTTCTTTCCAAAAACCATTCTAAGTCATACGCATTTCCCCAGGTACCTGTGCAATATTTCACCATCCTTTTCTTTTCTGAGGAGGTCTCCCCATTTTCAGATAGAAGGAAATGAACCTCTCTGTGGAGCATGGAGGTTACTCCAGCTGTTTTCGTTTGGAAACGTGGTCAAAACTAGTCAAGACTCAGTTACCAGGAGTGGGGAGGTGGGGTAGAAATGGGTTTCCTACTAAATTTAGTGAATAAATGACACTGATGAACTTTCTAATAATTCCGCATTTTATAGGAATGGTTACTTTAGAAACTAACAAGTTTCATAGTGTGGTATGTATGATGCTTTTCTATATACAAATGTTTTTGTTTTCCTTACCCCTCCCCCCTTTTTGCTATGCTAGGGGGTGGGAGGGTTTTACATCAAAGTAAATTATAAATATGGCTAAAATCTACCAGGTTCATGTGTTATATTTATGTTAGAAATAAATATATTTTATTAAGCCAGATTTCAAATATTTTTATTTTAATTGGCTGTCTACATGAAAATAAAAATTGTATGGTGATATAAATGATGTTCTGGCTGTGTGTGTGTGTGTGTGTGTGTGTGTGTGTGTGTGTTGTGAGAAAGACAGAGACTGAGAATATCAACCCCAAGCCTCCAATTTAATAGGTCTGCTTGGGTTGTGATACCTTTAAATGAAACTTTTAAATCATTCAAAAAATATCAAACTGCTCAGGTATTGTATCTAGCTATAGGAGTAGTTGATGAACAAAGTTAAAATATATAGATTAGGGCACAGATGCTATAAAGATCTTAGACATACTGAGTAGTCCAAGTATGAGTATATTGTGTGACTTTGTTTTATATAAATCTACATTTAAAATTATATTATTGTATGATGTGATCCTCAAGAGTAAAACACAATTGCTATGCAGATGAAAACATGCCTTTATAACTACTTGCATCATTGCTAAAATGAATTATTATTATGATTAATTTTAGTATATACCAACAGTGAATAGTTTTGTCAATACCAGCAGATAGAACAACTATATTTTCTCTCTGAAAATAGAGAATGGATTGAATTATGCTAAGTAATACTAGACATGCCAGAAAATGTTTGACACTCAATGCTTCTTTTTTTTTTAAGTTTTTAAATACTTTTTCTTTAGAAACTTAAATATGTTGCATGGACACAAACATACTTGATTAACTATTCCTTATATGTAAGTTTTGTCATAAGGGCTTATTTCTTTGAATTGAGAAAATTACAGAAAAGATTTTTATAAAATAGGTATCAGGGCTCTCATGCATCTTCACAATATTACAAACGAATCTGTGTTCTCATAAATAAAAGCAGATTTAGCCAGTGGTTTTTTTAAACAACAACCTGTGTGCTCCTTTATCATTAGAAGTGCAAGTTTTCCTTATAACCTAACAGGCAACTGCGTACTTAAGGGCATAAAGAGTTGTGTTGTTTTAAACAGTAATTTGGTGTTTGATAATACTTACGTGATGATCATCATAATTGGCCCCAGAATTCTCTTCTAGCTGCTCATAATTTAAAAAGTTGGGAGTTGTTAAAGAGCCGTGTGTTGCAGTGGACAGAGTTGGGTTCTGGCAGTCTGGAGACATGATTTTATGTGTCAAGAGTCCTTAACCCTTGAAGAGTTTCTTCATCTAGGAAATGAAGGGCAGTAGTAGATCGTTTATGATTGCTTAACTTTTCACATGCAATATGTCCAAGATTTGAACTGAAACATAGAAATAACTCAATAGTTGTTTCACTGGCTTTTTCTTAGGACTTTTAAAGGAGGAAGTTCTAATAGGAAAGTCCCTATACTGTTCATACCATATGTGTTATTGAGTCAGAAAGAGGTGTTATGTGTTCAAATATATAAATGATTCATTTCATCCTAGTTCAATAGATAATCTGGATTATTCTAGCCAGTGGACAAATATTCTAAAAACTATATTTTGTTGTTATAATGAACTCATAGGGCCTCAATTATGAGAGTTCATGTCTTCATTTTTCAAAGTAGTTACAGTGTGGTGAAGTTTTCATCTTCTTAATATTAAGTTTGAGATAATTGATGTCAACATATATAAACCATTTACACTTATGGATTTTTCTCCCTTTCTTTGTCTTTTGAGGAGCCTTTTCAAAACTAATCATATATGGTTCTGTGTGTAAGAATTTTGGTGTCTTATGCTGGTTTCTAAAATAAATCATCAAAGTCATCTATTTTGAGACTTACCAAATTAGGACCTATTATTTCTTATCTCAGCAGAGACAAGAGCTTATTTCCTTGTTAGTTTCTGTTAAGAGCACAAAGGAGGGACAGTATATTGATTTTTATATTCCTGAACTATGAAAACCTGTCTCATTGCTGTAACTGAAGCTATAGTTATGGTTCCTGCGCTTCATTCTCTGAGAGGCTATATGGCATCTTGACAAGTTGCTTAAAATCTCTTAAGCTTGATTTAACTTTTTTTTAATGTTGGGAAAAATCTATTTATAATCAGATTTCTAAAAGAGTTGAGAAGTGTTTGATATATCAGCTGTTTTAAAAAGTAATTTATTGTAAGCTTTGACCAAGAGGCTATATTTGAGAGAGCACAAGAAAAATAACAGGTTTTCATTTTTTAAAACAATTTTATGAATCAACTAGAGGCCCGGTGCACAAGGGGGGGGGGGGGGGGGGGGGGTGTTCAGTCTGATCTATGCCTTTTGCAGTCTGGGAGCCCTCACAGGATGTCTGACTGCTGGGGGATGTCTAAGCTGGCAGTCGGACATCCTTAGCATTGCTGTGGAGGAGTGCACTGACCACCAGGTGGCAGCTCCTGCGTTGAGCCTCTGCCCCCTGGTGGACAGTGCATGTCATAGTGACCAGTCGTTCTGCCATTTGGTCTATTTGCATATTACCCTTTTATTATATAAGATTATATACAATTTAGTATTCAGTTGCCCAAATAAAAATATTCAAATACACTCGCTTTATAACATATATAATTTCAAAGTAATTTTAGTCATATATATTGACTACATATATGGAGGTAGTTGTCAACGATTTTTTTCTTAGTCATCTAGATTATTTGCTTAATTTCTGACACTTATGATAACCATTCAAACTTGAGGGCAAAAAAACTAAGTATGATGTTTCATGATAATTAACTTTTCAAAAGACTGAGAAAAGGATTTTTGAAGCTAAAATTCAAATGCTATAATTGATAAATCACCTGTGTATAGAGTCTTTTGGGTATGCCATTATTTTGTTTTATTTTATACTATAAGACACACTTGACTAACTAATGAAAGAAACAGTTTGACCTTTCATTCAAACACTGAGAAGACTAATTTAATATTGTATACTTATATAAAGGTGGTTGAAACTTGTCTAAGAAAATAATATGTGAAGGTGGAATCCCAAAAAAGAGAAAAAACAGCAGGGTGGAAAACTGAAAAACTGACTCAAGATATTATCAAAATATGACAAATCACTACCGTGGGGAAAAAGAAGAAGTGGACATAAATTGAATGTACTGGCTTCAAGAGAGTAACTCAATATATGCATGGTACCAGTAAAGAACCCGAAACTTTCCGATCAGATTCTGGTTTCGGCTCTACCATTTCCCACCAGGGTGATTTCAGGCAAATCTTTGAGGCAGAGAGTCCTCATTTGTGAAAAATGAAAATGACATCTACCTTCCCAGATTGTTTCAAGATCAAGATAAAACATGTGTGGAAAGAACATAACACTTAAAATGTTAACTGAAAAAGCATAATAGCAGATACTCTGTGTAATCCACTGATCCTAGTATTATTTATCCTCGTTACGGTGGTTTAAGGGCAATAAAGTGAAGTCCTTGGATTCTTGTGCGTTAATATCTTTTGAATTTGAAATAGATCACTCTTTTACAACAAATATTTATTGAAAACTCGCAACATGCTAGGTTTACATTGGTGAATGAAGTAGACATGAGTTTAGTTCATGTCTAAGAGAGAGAAAGAGGGAGAGAAAGAGAAGGAGAGGGAGAGGGGGAGAGAGAGAGAGAGAGAGAGAGAGAGAGAGAGAGAGAGAGCTTATACTCACTGCAAAAACCTAGACTTATGGTATCAAAAGAAAACAGCTTGTAGTCAAAATAAGAAAATATGCCTTTTGAACTTCAAAGATAACCAGGAAATTCTGAGTGTTTAAGGATAGAGGATGCTGATGGAGTAGATCACAATCAAGGAAAAAGAATTAGAGAGCCATGGGATGTCTCTCAGCAATACCAGAAGACTAGGGGGGAGATGTCTCTAAAAATCTAAAGACACATGTCCAGCCTAGAAGGTTATACTTAGCAAAGTTACCAATCAGATATGAAGGAAGAATAAAGCCTAGATACTGTCATTCTCCCCATTTTACAGATGGGAACACAGGGGCACAGCATTTTCTAGAAATTCACTAAAGATCATCTTGCTAATAAGTTCTGAATCCAAGACTCAAATCCACGTATTCTATGCACAGAGTATTCAGTCTAAACCAGCACAACCCTCAGGTTACATATGCTATGTAAGTCAAACAATAGCAAAAAAGCACATGGCTGTGGATGAAGGAAATAAAAAGGAAGGGAGAGGAGGAAAAGAAAGGAAAGGGAGGCTAGTGCAATCGATAGAAGTGCAGTAAGTATAAAAGTCTACTGTGCACCAATCACATGATCTGAAATATTATGTATAGTACTAGATTAATTATTTGGGTAAAACTAACAAACTGGAGTACTTGATCTATTAAAAAAAATCATAAGATAAAGGGTTAAAAGCAAGAAATTTGGAATTTATATAAGTTTTGTTGAGGAGTCTGATGGCTACTTATTTTTAAGGATGCTATGTAAAATCAGAGTTAAATTTCTTATGTCTATGTGAACTAGACACACCAGTGGTAAGCAGTGGTAAGAAAAA